TTGCTTGAGAGAAACAAAGACTTTCTCTAGAGAATCATCTAGTAGCTGTTCTGTGGTCAGTGGAATCTGAACATTTCTTAGTATTCTCCCTCTGATCAGTGGAAGAGAAGCCCTCATGACTTAGAGTCATAAGTTCACATTTGTCTCCATCCCTCCAGTTCCTTCTACCCACCTTGTTACTTTGACATTGAAGTCATTGGAGAGTCAAGATTTAGTCCCTTGGGATTTAGTCCCTTGAGAGATAGTTCAATGGGTAAAGTTGGCCTCAGACTTCCACGTAAGCACGGTAGTACATATGCCCAAATATACACACACGTGCATGCATGCACGAACGCACACGTGTCTTTTTTTATAGCTCTGTGCCATGCACTTTTACTTGACATTATCAAGAAAATGACAATTCCCAATAGCCTTAGAGATGACAGGATGAGAGTGAGCAGAGAGTACCCCTGGGGCCCAGTCGGGGTGACTGGCCTGGTGGAAGATGAGTGAGGATGTGAGCTGGGGTCCTGTAAAGCAGCTTCCAGTAAGTGGTGATGGGTGACCTCTAGTGGAGTCCTAAGGGATAATAGCCTCTCTGATTAGGGCCATGAGCAGGGACTGCTCATGGCAGGATCACCAAGTGTGTGTGAGACCATGAGGACAGCCATGTGACTGCTAGAAGCTATTTGTCCCATCCATTTTCCTCAGGGAATCATCTGGGTGTTGGTGACCCAGACAGACTTTGTTCAGAATTCGGTTTCACATGGACCTCAGCAGCCCCACTGACTGACACATTATCCTGCTCCTGGCTGTGTCAGGGAGAGGTGAGAGAAAAGAGTAACAGCGGTGATGATGATAGCCCTCTGTGATTACTGGGTGCTCTTGTGCTCTTTCCCATTCCAGGGGTCAAAACCCCCTTCAGTGCTCTCTCCAAGGAACCTGCTCCCCATGTTTTTTCCATTGCTTGAGAGAAACAAAGACTTTCTCTAGAGAATCATCTAGTAGCTGTTCCGTGGTCAGTGGCCACTGAAGATTTCTTAGTATCTCCCTCTGGTCAGTGGAAGAGAAGCCCTCACAACTTAGTCATAAGTTCACATTTGTCTCCATCCCTCCAGTTCCTTCTACCCACCTTGTTACTTTGACACTGAAGTCATTGGAGAGTCAAGAATTAGTCCCTTGGGATTTAGTCCTTTGAGAGATGGGTCAATGTGTAAAGTTGGCCTCAGACTTCCACGTAAGCACCATGGTACATATGCCCAAATACACACACACATATGCATGCACGCACGCACGCACACACTCACGCACGTGTCTTTTTTATAGCTCTGTGCCATGCACTTTTACTTGACATTATCAAGAAAATGACAATTCCCAATAGCCTTAGAGATGACAGGATGAGAGTGAGCAGAGAGTACGCCTGGGGCCCAGTCGGGGTGACTGGCCTGGTGGAAGATGAGTGAGGATGTGAGCTGGGGTCCTGTAAAGCAGCTTCCAGTAAGTGGTGATGGGTGACCTCTAGTGGAGTCCTAAGGGATAATAGCCTCTCTGATTAGGGCCATGAGCAGGGACTGCTCATGGCAGGATCACCAAGTGTGTGTGAGACCATGAGGACAGCCATGTGACTGCTAGAAGCTATTTGTCCCATCCATTTTCCTCAGGGAAACATCTGGGTGTTGGCGACCCAGACAGACTTTGTTCAGAATTCGGTTTTACATGGACCTCAGCAGCCCCACTGACTGACACATTATCCTGCTCCTGGCAGAAGGAAGCACCTGTGACTTTGGAGAGACCCCTAAAGAAGAGGCCCTGGGGGACCCAGTTCTGGGAAACTCCCCCTAGTGCATGAATCAGAACTCACCTCTTTTAGATTCAAGGAGTCTTGTTGTATCTGAATGTATTAAACTGTCCAAACTAGCCCTTCCGATGCAGCTCCAGCCTGGACTCTCTTCCCTGTCTACCTCAGCAGGAAGGGTACCCTGGATTTAGGGTTGGAAATAGCAATGTCAGAGTGAGGTTGGTAATACTTGACAGAGCAGCAGGGCTGGTCCTATCCCTGGTGTGACTCATTCCCTTTGTGTAGACCACCACTTAGTGCAGTCGGCCAGCTTCCTTGCCTCTGCTCTCCCCTGCGCAGGGACAGAAAGGCAGAGAGGGCTTACAACAGTGAAGAAAAAGGAACTAGACACTGTTCCCACAAGGCCACTGAACCCAGATGTACCCAACTTCCCCTGTCAATGAGCACCTTCAGACTTGGAGAGCACAGCAGACAGGGAGGGCCAGGGCCTACCTGCTGGGGTCTTCGGGCGCTCCCTAAATGTAGGGAGCAGAGTTACAAGCAGCCAGTGAGAACTGAACCCATGCACACGCCCCCCTCATCTCAAACTCTTTTCCAAGGTTGAAAAGTCTGAGGTGCTAGGACAGCTATTTCCTCCTGCAAGAAAATCAAGTTGCACCCCTTCCTTACATCTTACACAAAAGCTGACTCAAAATGGGTCACAGAAATGTAAGATCTAAAATTATAAAGCTCTTAGCAGAAACGTAGGAGTAAATCTTTGTGGCAATGGCTTTAGCGGTAATTTCTTAGATAAAACACTAGGAGCACAGACCAAAAAAAAAAAGAAAAGCTGTTAGACTTCAAATTAAAAAACCGTTGTGCTGGGGCTGGAGAGATGGCTCAGCGGTTAAGAACACTGGTTGTTCATGCAGATGACCCACGTTCGAATCCTAGCACCCACATGGCCACTAACAACTGTAACAATTGTAACTCCAATTCCAGGGGATCCCACAGCCTCTTCTGACCTCCATGGGCATTGTGTGACACGGGTTCACTTACCTAAATGCAGATAACACACGCATACATATAAAAATGAAAATAATAAAAAAATTTAAATATAATAAAATTAAAAAAAAAAAACCTTTGTG